AAAAAAATCATTTTGATGAATTTCGAGAAAATAAAGTCATTTTCATTACTTACTAGTAATTACCTTTCTATGGTAAAAGTTTGAGGGAAAACTATTTTCTGACCCGAAATGTAGTGGGCCGCTTTTACAGAGACTGCCTCTTAAGACTGTAATGTTTGATTGCTCTTTGATTCCAAATTATTTTTTAGGGTTTTAAACGTTTGTATCTTATCTAATTCCTGCAAATTACGTGTATTGAAAAGGACATTGGTATAGAAGTGGGTTTAAAGGTTTTTCAAGGCTTCAGAAATTGGGGATTTGAGCTTGAAATCGTCGCCATATTTGACACTTTCTTACAAACACAACTCTCCCTCAGCTTAAATGAAAGATTGCCCTTTATTTACCCCAAAAAGTTCCACAAAAAAATTTCACAATATTAACTTATGTACTTATGTTTCTTTGAACATTCTTAACTTATTTATAGCAGGGAGACTTAATACTCCAAGACGGATCCAGTCAAATCATGCCCTTGCAGAGCAAGGCTTAGATGTGATATGGGATAACAATTCACCTTCGCCATCAAGAACCCTTCTGCTAGGTATTGTGTAAAATTCAAGATAGTCTAGTCTGTAAACAGAGCCTCTTACCCCCGACCCCTTTGACAGGATGGGGAATTAGCATGGTGAGACTGGAGATTTAATGCACATTTAACAGCGTGAATACATGGGCATATGGTCAATTTAACATGTACTTCAACAGTTTATCAATTTTTCGGTACAACATAGAGTACCCAGCAAGGAAAAGTATTATAGTGGGCTGCCTACAGGCCTACACATCCATTGTAGGAATAAACAATCGAATACCTTGGGGTTAGGGTTAGGATTGGGGAAGGCTTTGTAGGAATTAACAATCGAGTAACTTGGGGTTAGGTTTAGGGTTAGGATTGGGAAGGCTTTGTAGGAATAAACAATCGAGTGCCTTGGGGTTAGGTTTAGGGTTAGGATTGGGGAGGGCTTCCGTGTGGTATTCTATAGTTATTCTGACTCAAACTGTAGCTTTCATTTCAAGTCAAGGCATTTGGGTCAATACAATTGAATGTATAGAAACTGCCCCCAATGCAGAAATTGTTTGAAGGCTATAGAGTGTAGCACTAATATCTGGTGTTCCCTGCTCTTTCCTCTGGATCTAGACCATATCATTTCCAAAGTAACTGCAGTTACTAACCTTGCATTTCTTGTCCATGGCCATTCAATCACCCTTTATGACACTGTTTTGTTATAACAGGAAAAAGGAAAAAGCATGCTGGTAGCGACAGCAGTAGCAGTGGTGGCGAGATATCTGACTTGGTAAAGAAGCTTGCAGATAAGGTAAGAACTATGCAAGCTAAAGTGATTACCTAGGGCCAGTTGCTGAATAAAGCTATCCAGAGTATGCAGTGTATAGAATTTGTATAGGTTTTGTCGATAAGGATTTACCTGGGCTTGGTTATATAACACTATCCAATAGATAAATCATTATCCAATGAAGAAAGTTATGCTGTTATGCAACAAATATCGAATGTGATTAGAATAGATTCCATACAACTGTATAGCTAGTCATGCATAGTCTCCTACGCAGCTGCTATTAGTGTTGTCATGCAACACTCACTCATTGAGGACACGAATAGCACCTGTGTAGGAGACTAAGTCATTCTCACTCATTGAGGACACGAATAGCACCTGTGTAGGAGACTAAGTCATGTACTACAAAAGCATGGAATTAATATCATCCATTGAGCCAATCATACAGGTGGTCTTCATCAAATCAGAATACCCAGACATGGCACCATCATGTCAAAATGTATGCCATGATTTTTTTTTCCAATCAATTTTTTCAACTTTTTTTTTACTCGTTCAACATGCTGAAGCACTGTAAGAATGTCTTGTATTTCAAAGTGTTAGGGACTGGGGAGGAGGGAATCAAATTCTATGGTTGCATACAAACTCCCACTGCCGTCTCTAGCCCAGAAAGCTTTGTGCTATCAATTTAGTGTCTAATGCATATAATATATTTTCAGTCACACTGTGCTGACGAGGCCCAATACAGGCCGAAACAGCTGTCCACAGTTTCTAGTTGAGCTGGCTCATTTTTTACGCGACTTGAAGTTGTGAAAGGCTTGTATGGCACTCTTCTTCAGTCGTTTCATCTAAGGCTCGTAATTTACTTATTACGCATGTTCTTAATATATTTTCAGACAGGGCAAACACCAACAAATAATAGTCTATTAAACTACTGGTTAGAGGAAGAGGTTAGTCATTCTGATGCCGCAGGCGACAAACATGATGGTGAAAAAGTCAAGTCAGTCAGTAAGAAAAAAAAACAGTTGAAGACTCCTTGTAGAAGACCTAGGTAAGTATGAAGATGTTAAAAAAAGCATTAAATCTGTAAATCCTATAATTGAAGTCGGGATTCATAATATCAATTGAAATGTTTGTCTCTTAAAATATTTTGAAACAATAAATTTTACAAAAGTTTCAAATCATGAACAAAAGGTTTGTAAAATTGTTTCAAGATATTTTGAGACAGAGACAAGCATTTCAAGTAATGTTAAGTAAATTAGTGACTTTTAACCCTGTTCCTTATAACAAAACTGCCCCTTTTTTTTTCTTTGAAACCTCCCTGAGGTTTATCTTCATTTTTTTAATTTTTTGTTTTAAACTTGGTTTTTATCAAGCCCTCAAACAACATCTTAGCTGATCTAAGGTATGGTCAACTCACAGATTTCCTCTTGATCATTAAGGAAAATGTATTGTTATTTTTTCCACAGAGAGTTGCGAAAATCTAGGAGAAATAAAAACAAGCTATCCAAGGAATTAGAAATGCTTGCTAGTATTATGCAATCTGAAACAGGTTAGTATAAATAATGAACATTTAAGGTTATTGAGTTAATCCATTAAAATGATGTGTGCTATCTCTTATCACTTGCAGAAAATGTATCCACTCATCCGTCAACATCTACCAACCAAAGGTAATAGGCTTCATAACAAGTCATATTTCTTGATTTATTCCAATGTCTTAAAATATGTCATGAAACTCAATGGAGCCTCAACTGCAGTTATCCATGGATTGTTTACACAGAAGTGTAAGGGGGAAATGGAATTCCTTCTAATACTCCAGTTTCAAGTTCTCTTTTGCTCAGCCTTAACCTCGGTTGTGTGTAAACATATTCAGCCATTCAACCAAAACTGGTGGAATTTTAGTCAATTTTAAATCAACTTGTATTGTTCCATAGTATGCACTTTCCTTACTTTATAAGAAAAGAGTACATTTGCACACCATTGAGGTTAAGGATGAGCAAATGCAAACTCGGAGTAGGAGTTTTGGCATCATACAATGAGGAATGATGAATGTTTATGTAATGTCAGGTACCAGACTGGTGACAAAATGTAAAAGGCAGTTTGCCATTGGTGGCTAACCTTTTGTCTCTTAAACTTTTCTCCCATGCCTGGGTATCCTGATTTGAAGAACTGATAAAATCAACACTTCGGCAGTTTTGAAATGTCATATCCTCGGTTTACAGTCAATTCCCCCACGGACCAACTCGCCCATGCCAAGTCACCCACGTTTAGAATCACTTTAAGAAATGTGTTACCGTATGTTAAGACTAAATTAAAGTAGTTGGTGATTTACTTTACTTGAATCTTAAGCTCAAGACTTCAAAACGCAAACTTTTTACACGCCATAATGGACTCGTCTACGCTAACTCGCTAACGAACGAAACAACTCATAAACCAATGTAGATGTCACTTTAGCCTTTTTAAACCTCAGATGTTGCTAATATTCCAAGAAAATAATTTCTTTTCTGGTATTCTTCTTGGTTCATTTGCAGCTCAAGCATTGTACTAAAGCCCATAAAAACAGAAGACAATACATTCAGATCATATACAAACTCCAGCGACAAAGATAAGATGGACACAAAGTCAACTACAACCAATGCTGAACTAAAGAGTCCTCCTCTGCCATCAGTAGACGATTGTGATGATTTTGATTGGGAGGAGGATGAAGAAGGGGATGTGATTCTAAGCCAGGTGGATCTATCTGGTTTATGTGATGATGACACTGTTACTAAGGATAAGATGTTCACAAATACACAGTTTTTTAATGAGCAAGAACGATCAAACCAAACCCTTAACTGCAAGTTGGAAAAGGATTCTGAAAATGAAAACTTGGATCTTGATGAAACCAGCTTTGTAACTGAGAGTTGGGATTTCGATGATGATTTTGACTTTGATGATAATCTTGACAATAAAGATCAACTCCTTCAGACTTTGGACGAGGTAGAAAGAACGCAGTCAATCATTAGTAACATTCCATCCATGTCGCAAACCAATAACTGTACTTTAAGAACCATAGACGTCAAAGAACAAGATCATGTTCTTGATGTCAAAATTGCTAAGATGAAATATTCTCAAAGCAAATCTTCGTACGTAAAAGAAGGAAATACTACGAAGAAAAATGCCAACTTGAAGGTAGAACCTTCAGAAAGCAGGCCTATGTACACAAAAGTAAGAAGTACTATAAAGTATGAAGAAAACAAGGAGGTTTTTGAAGTAAAAAATTCCAGGATGGAACCTTTTAAAGGCAAGCCATCATACACTAAAGAGAAAAGTATAAATAATTATAATACAGAAAACAAGTCAAATGTTCTTGGAGAAAAGAATGTCAACGTAAAGGTGGAACCTTCACAAAGCAAGCCTTTGTACAGTAAAGAGGAAATTGAAAGAAAGAAACTCCAAGCTCAACAGAAGCTGAAACAAAAACAAAAACTGAAGGCACTAGTTCCAAAACTAGATGTCTATAGGTTAAGAAGAATATAGAATTTTTTTTTTATAGTAGTGAAATCCAATATTGCTAAAATAACTACTTATGTCAAGAAAATCAAATAAAGTAGGGTCATGAATTTTTTGTTTCTCATATTTCGTCAGAGACATATTACTTCTCATTACCGCCATTTGCATTGCTACGCGGCCACCCCAGACAAAAATTGCATCATGCACTTTGCAATAGACTGCCGTCGATCAAACACTTAAAAAACAGGCGCCAAAACTTGTCGATCTTGCCAAACATGTGTAAATGACGTCAACGTGTTTGATTGACGGCAGTCTATTGCAAAGTGCATGTCGTGAGTGGCTGCGTAGCAATGCAAGTGACAGTAATACCCCAAGTTCAAAAGGTTCTAATATGTTTGACAAAACTTCCTGTCAGAGCAATATTTGCCAGATTGAAAATAAATAACCTCTGGAATATCGCAGCCAAGTCACGGCAATTTTAAAATTGATTGATCAAGTTAAGTTCAACTCTCAGAAGTTTTACTTTAAAGTTAACATGTTCAATAATTTGCAGTGACTTGCCTGGATTCTCTCGCCATGAGATCTACAATGAAATTGCCTCTAAAGTTGGGCGACAAAACTGCTAGAATTGTAAACAGGTCTTTGCAAGTAGATTTATTGGTAAATTCTTTGCAAATACACTAACATAGAGTTCCTGTGTGAACTTAGGCAAAATAGGGGAGAAGGTTACTGTGCAATGTGCTCCACCATGGCTACCCATGGCATTTTACACCACTTCTCACTTTGTCTCTGACAACCATCCAAGTGATGGAACTAAATATCAGTGACATTCATTACAAAATCCTAATTGACATATATGAACAGAAATAAATTTGCTCTATTTAATGCTATTTTTTTTAAATCTTTTTTTAAAAATTAAGTTCATGACCTTGCTTCTCATCATAGTGTTAACAGAGTTCTCATAATAAAAATGGTATCAAGGCTTTACGTGTCTTAGGATAGTCTTCAAATTTCTCCAGGTAAAACCTGTAATAAAAATAAATATTACTGTTAGTCAAGTAGCTCAACCGGTTTCTATGAGCTGAGGAAAAGTTACCTGACATTCCTGAACTAGCAAATCACTATGTTTGTTATGGTGAGGTCCAAGCAAAAAACATTACATACATACTTTATTACCTCCCTTTACAGGGCTTTTCAGAAGCATTGACAAATACAACTTACAATATGATATAAAAGTTAAATATAAATGCTAATCTAAGTATAAATCTAAGATAAAATATAATATATATATACACCTGCCTTCAAAAAGGCCCGTGACAAGAAACACGTAAACCCCTTCTAAAACAGGTGAACACACAAGCTATACTATAATATATTATATATAATAGGAAAGATAAAATATATATCTAGATATGCAAATGCATTTTAAAGACCTAAACTATAAGAATCTTAAAATGAAAAAATTAAATTAAATTTTTAAAAAATTAAAAAATATATATATATATATGAATAAATAAAAAATTGTTCCAAAGGATCAAATACATAAGGGATCTTAAACCAGCCAGGGAAAATTGAAAAGTGCAACACATTCTAACAATGTTGTATGCTTAATTATTCCTCAATGAATATTACAATCAAACTAAGAAAACTTTGAACACCTAAAATATATCTGGAATGTTAAACATCGTGACTAATCACATGCGACAGTTAATTATAAATAAATTCATTTTTGCATGCAATTGGTCAGAATACAATGTTTAACATTGCAGAAATATTTTAGTGTTCAAGGTTTTCTTAGTTTGACTGTAAAAGAAAGAGTCAAGGTTGCACCATAAAAAAATTCTGTCTTGTCCTTTTGAACATTGTTAAATAATTCTGAAAATTGAGTAAAATGAATGAAATATTTTACCTGTGATGCTGGCATGCCCTTGGCCCAATATTGCAGAGAGTAAAAAATGCATAAGTAAACGCAGGATAACTCCAACAAGCTACAGCAAATCCACTCCATTCTAGAATTTCTGAGAAGAAGTTTGCTCCAGAAACATACTCAAATAAGCCACCTAAAAATCAAAACCAAATCCTGAAAAATCTACAAAGGCTTGTCTAACAAGGGCTGTGCTTTGGGCACATTTAAAAGTAGGACAAATTTGATTTTTTTAAATATAGTAGACTAGTATCTACAATATTGAGAGTTGGAAGATGAGACATGAATTCAAAATTTAATCAGATATATCAAAAAGAAGGCAATGCTTAACCTCCCTTGCTCCTTCCTCTCTGTGCACTAAGTCTTAAAAATTGTCTTCATGACAAGTTTTGGTGAACGTCAATCGATGTGTTTCCATGACGTTGGAAAACGAAGTTTCCAAGGGCATGTGTTTATTTAATGTTGAGGAAACACCTTGATTGATGTCTACAAAAAACCAACTTCGTGTCAAAAGCAAAATGTACATACCATTTAATGCATGATAGAAAGGGCTGCACATAAGCAGAAACAAGAGAAACCAGAAGAAATTATTATTTCTTGAGTTAAGAGCTCTAAGATGACACATGATCACAACTTTGGCATGTCCCATTATTCAGAAGTCATGGCTTTGAGACGTTGAACCTACAATTAGTTTGCAACCCCTTCGACTCCCCTCAACCATGCCTTCCCTAATGTCCAAGTACTGTACCTACCTCTTGGAATCTTATAACCAGTTTCACCTGGTTTTCTTAGATTCGTAAGAATGTTATCTGCCTGAATGTTCAACATCATTCCAGTGAAAAACAATAAAACACCAACTATGAATCTAGGATCAGTAAACCAAGATTGATTGTACTCTGCAAACATTGCCAAATGCCGACCTTGGACGTAACCATTTATTAGGGTGTATGTTAGTGCAAAAAACCATATGAGGAATGGTGTTGGCTTGCCGCCCTTGAGCTGAAACGAGTATATGAAGACCCTGAAGGAAAGAGAGAGATTTTCAAGAGATAATATTGAAAATAAGAAACAATTTTTCCTATAGAGGGTGGCTAGTTTAGACCTATCAGACCCTGCCCTAGGGTAAGACTTTGTGAGTTTCACTGGATGGCTGTGCACCCCTCCACCCATACCACCCCCTCGCCTAAGACATGCCTATTGGGTAAATCATCCCACCCTATCCAACCTGGCCCTTGCAAGTGAATGTCCAATGAAAAATAATATTTCCAAGAACAAAAAAAATTTAATATAAAAACATGTCTCCAGACTAGGTTGAAGCATGAGACTTTCCCTTTGAGTACTGTAAACACATAGGGACTATACCTCAACCTCCCCAGATATTGCGCAACATTGGAGCTATTTCTTTGTCCTTCCACTCGTTTCCTCCAGAGTATATATTATGAATCTTGGGTAATACCTTCGAAAATAATGTGAGACAAGCATACATATCAGAACAGTATTTGGCGTCAATCCAAGATTTCCGTCCTTGGCGTAAAGTAGGAATATCAAAGGTAAAGTGAACATAGGCAGTTCCTGAGAAAACCAGGCAATCCTTGGGTGTATTCCAAACCCCCACTTGGTTGTAGAATTAGAGCTAAAATACCGTCCGTACTCGGCATACATGAACTGTAACAACAAGGCGGATAAAAGACCAAAGAAATTTAAGAGTGTGCAGAGAAAAAAGATTATTTCTTGTTCGCTATAACTGCGGAAAAATCCTAGTACGTCCGCCATTTTGATGTGGCTCGTCACTGGGATGACGTTACGTTTTTCACGATACAAACACGTGATATTGTCACGCAAGGTAAGATGGTAATGCGCAAGTTCGTACAAAATGGAGGCAAGATTGAAATATTGGTGCGATGTTGTACTCCTCTATTATGAGTGAATTTCGTCATGAAGTTGGAAGTTTATAACCAGATTTTGTCTTTGATGCACAAATATGGCTCACGAGACTGTCTTAAGAGTATTGCTCTCCAATTTCCAGGGTAAAGTATTCCTACAAACTTATAAATTTCATCTAAATTTTTATTTATTTCTTTACTTACCTTGTAGAACTAGAATAGCTTCAAGTATACAATATTTGTTCATATTTTCTGTTTTTTAATCCAAAGATTTAACTATCGAAATTATTAAATAATAAAGAAACTTTTGGAATCAGGGTTTGTCTGGAGTAAACTATTTGACCAAGGGTAGATTGGAGGGGTCAGTTTTATTATACATCAAGGGGGGGGGGGGGGGAAAGAATGTTAGTGGTTATGGATAATGTTAGTGCTTCCATAATATGGGTAGGAAGTGTATTGTTCACTGCTAACGCATCATCTTACTGGTTTGAGCATTGCGGACATCATTTGCTATATACAGCTACAAGGGTTTCTGGCCCACACGTGATGGTGCAAAACTTTTATTGAATGTAGTAGTAGTGTGTGAGACTGAAAAATGTCCCCAATTAGTGCAAAAGTGCCATGAACGACTATAGACATTTTAGAAATAAATATTTTTATTTTGAGCTGATCTTTTTCAATAGCTATCCCCAGGCCCTCCTGCTCTTGGAAATAGATGGCTCCAGCTTATGACTTTCTATATCTTAAGCTATATATCTCTACACAGGGTTACCTATAATACTTTGATCAGCATATACTCTCAGGATTACCAGGTTAGTTCTGTCTATAGGTATAGATTAGTACTATACTGTCAGTACATGCCAGATACCGAACTGTGTACTATACTGTCAGTATGTGCCAGATACCAAACTGTGTACTATACTGTCAGTATGTGCCAGATACCAAACTGTGTACTATGCTGTCAGTAAGTGCCAGATGCCAATACTGTGATCAGTAATCTTTTTGAGGGTTAGGGGAATTCCATTACATGTTCAATTATTTTGTAGTTATTTTTGTCATAAAGTGTTTGAATTTCCTGCTCTGATGGTATGGACAATGGATCATGTGTGGAGATAATGATTTCATTATAAAGCATGGATAACGATCATTTTGTGTTAGGGATGCCTTTTAGCACCTTCTTACATGAACCATTACTAACTTAAACAAGGATCTATATAGGGTGTGATCCAATCCCAAAACAATAGGTGCGATTGTAATTGGCATTTTCTGATAAAAATTAAAGAAAGGTATTCAATATTTTATAGAAAAAAACTCGCAAAAACCATCACAAGCACCACAAACCTGCAGTAATGGAGGAATATTATCAAAGGTACAAAAAGTTCCAATTATATATTTTAGATTATGCTTGATATATAACTGCAAACAGCAAAAAATTGCTTTCTATTTCTTTATTATTTGCTACTATATTTTGTTATTATTTGTTTGTTAATGGAAATTTGTTCGCAGGTATCTCGAAGGTGTTTCTGAAAACCTGAATGATCCTGTAATGCTAAGACTGGCAGAAGAGGTTAATACAACTAATATTTTATTCATTGCCGTTAATGATAATCGTTTTATTAAAAAGTTTATCAGTCATTCAGTCCTTCGAACAATCAACCAGTCATCCATCAATTATATAATATGTAGTTACATGCAAGTCATTTGGTTGGATAGATAGTCAGGTGGTTTCGTCAGTGAAGTATGGGTAATGTAAAGGTGAGAGTGCTTGCCTCTCACTAATTCAAGGTGATCCAGGTTCGATTCTTAAACTCAGTATCTTATGTGAGTAGAGTTGTTAGTTGGTACTCTGCTGATCTTTGAGGGTTTTTCTGCAATCAGTCAATCAGCCAGTTGTATAACCTCAATCAGTCAATCAGTCAGCCAGTCAATCAGATAATCAGTCAGTTGATTGCTCAGCCATTCGCTTGATTGGTCCACCTGTCACTCATTCAGTTATTTGTTCAGTCAGTTGTTCATTCAGCCAGTCATTCATTTTATTCAACTGTAATTGTGCCTTGTTTCACTGTTCAATGATTTCCATTCCAGGTTGATCTTTCCCACTCTTTGTTTGCAAGAATTGTACTTGAAAGATATCTAGCACATTCAAGTTACAATGGAGAAAATCGTAAGTACAAAGCTTTATGTTCCTTTAAGTTGACCATTTTAGTTTGTTGGTATCTATAAACTTAGACAGAGAAATGCATCTTTTGAACATATTAAACACATGTTCCATTTGTGGGCTTCCTGTGTCAGGAAGTTATGTTCCACAGGAACCCCATACGAATTATGTGGATGTGGGACTCTGAGATATCTTTCATTTTTTTCCTTAGCTCCCAAGGGTGTTGTGAGCCAAATAATAAAAGACCCATCAATTCTTACAGATAAAGTTCTGGCATACGAAATACAACAGGTAAAGATGAGTATTAATATTATGTACTGTTATAAGCTTCCTCCCGGGAGTCCAGGGGGAGGAACCCCAGATTATCACAATTGCAGCAAGGGAACCTATTGCAAGAGAGCCTTTTGCATGCTTCCAAATACTTTCACTTGATATGTAAATCATTATTCTATTATTCTATTCTTCAAATAGTGCATTTTGAATGATCCAAACTATGGTCCACTGGTTGATAATATCAAGAGGTATCCTTTGTTCATTATATATGGTGTCTCTAGCTCCTCGCTACTTGTGATTAGTGATTATCAATCAAGTATTATCATCAAATTTATTATTTTATATTATTGGTATAACTGATTATGTTTCTCTAGGCAATGCCAGGGATGGGGTAGTGGTAGCGCATTCGCCTCTAACCTCTGGGATCTTGCCTTCAACTGATTTTATTTTATAGTACCTTGACTTTTATTTAAGATCAGTTGGCTATGAATATGAACTTATTTTGAAGGAAAAGCTACATAATAGAAACATTTCATTCATTGGTGAGTAGCTGTATCGTACGTGATAATACAGATTATTTTTTTCCAGTACGGTATCCTAAAAGATCGTGCGTTCTGATTGGCTGTTTGAGCGGGCGGTATTTTGTAAGTATTTGCCCGCTCGCTTGGTCTGGTTTCCCTTGTCGCTAAATGACAACACGAAATGATTACAAAAACACGTAAAAAAATATGGGGGAAAAATAAGTTATTTACTGTCCTACAGTCAGTCTGGATAGGAAAAAACTGTGCCCTCGGTCTTGGAAACGGACCTCAGCCTAACGGCATCGTATATTCAAGACCTCGGGTATAGTTTTTCCCTATCCGGACCGACTATAAAACGGTAAATAACATATATTTCTCCTTCCTTCCCCCACCCCCTCATTTTCCATCTTCCTGCCCTGCCCATCATGAACCTGAGATAGCCTCTTTACTTTGGGTGCAATTTTTTTACCCCCATTTTAGGCCAGATATTATTCCCTAGAGTATCATTTCTTTGTTTAACAGTTGCACAAAAGGAGAGACATGACACATGGTCTGAAATGAGAAAATATTACCCCCAAGTTTAAAAGGTTTATTACACAACTAAGAACTGCATAATGTCTCTTTACAGGTGAAGAAGAAATGAGAGCTAAAGGTTATGACAAAACTCCAGATTTTAAACTCGAAATACCAATTGGTAAGCAAACCTAGTGAAGTTCTGAATCTTAGTAGTGTTTTGTTTCGTAATTGTTTTCTGAGGTTAATTGACGATTATTCGCCAAAGACAAGGTGAATATCTGGGAATATTTACAAAGCCGCGAGTCTTCCAGCAGCGAGGTAAATATTCCCCGATATTCACTGAGCATGATTATCTTCTCAGAATCACTGGCCGCTCCACCATATATATTCAAGTCTAAAATGAAACTATATAAATATAAAGCCCTGGCTAAACGAGGAAGCATGTTTACCGCGCGCATGTTGTCCCGATGTTTCTCAGTTTAGCCTGTTGCCAAACATTGCTGCGTGCAATAAATTTTACTTCCAAGACGCAAAAAATGTTTCTGCTGTGCGGCACAAACATTTCATGCTTTAAAGACGCATGGAAACAATGTTTCCCGATGTTTTCTGACAGTTTTACCACCTTTGGAAATATTTAGGGAAACATGTTTCCTCGTTTATCCAGGGCTTGTTCCTTGATCGCACAATATTTAGAAGTTAACTTTGCAGATGGAAGAAAACTGTAAAAACCCATTTTCCAATGTGTCAGTTATTTTGATTCTTTCAGCTGTGGATGGGTATGTTGTGAACTGGATTGAGAGCAAAGCATCGTTTGGTGATGAGTATAGTCACCAGAATTACTTGAGGGACCAGTTTTGGAGCTATTGGAACAGGTAAAAAAACCTTCAAAACCTCTTTAAATTCTATCATATTTAAGTTAAAGTTTTCATAAAGATTGCGCTTTTGTGGCTTGCAGTTTGACATTTGACAGATTTTAAAAGACAATGACGTTTTTCTTTGCTTTTTTTTTTTTTTTTTTTTTGGACGCTTTTTTATCTTTTCCCTGCATTTCACTATAGCTTCACATTTTGCAAACGTTCTCACCAAAGACGAGTATTCTTTTTTCTATCTAACGATTAAAGATTTTTTCGATTCTTTTTGCTGAGGCTTAAAAATTTTGTGCCTGTCAACTGCATGACGTTTCACCTTTGTCGTAAACGAGATGCTTGAACTCTCTTTTCATGAAGGCTGTCAGATGCGCAAGGCAGTTGCGCAACAGCGACGCTGTAACGTTTATCGTCTACAAGCGCAAAACGTTCTCACCAACTTCCTTCCTTTCGCATAGATCAAGATATAGTTCTCTATTGTTACTACCATTATCGTTGAAGTGCAGCCCTCCGGGTTTGATATCTTGTTTGCCGACTAGCATTTCAACGACCGTTAATCGAAGATGAACTGAAATTTAAAACAACCTCAATGTTTTGAGGGAGATATTGAGCTGAATTAAAGACTTTAAAGGATTAGAGGTTCAAAATCTTTAACTCAGTCTAAAATCTATCCCAAGATATTGTGTGTTTTTTATTGCAGTAATTTGATTGATGGTCGTTGAAATGCGAGTCGGCGAACAAAACATCAAACTTCGCGGGTCGCTCTTTTATGATAATGGCAATAACATTACAATTTCACATTATTCTCAGATTTGGTCCAGGCTTGGTGATTTATTGGTTTGGTTTCATCGATGAATTGGACTGTAATCGAGATCGTGGGATTATTATCAAGGATTCGTTCCCCACAGATATTGTCTTACTTGACGATTTACTGCAGGAGAAAACTTGAATGTTGATTTTTCGCACGCCCATCCAAACCCACCTAGACAGGCGCATGCGCAACAAGTCAAGAAAAGCAAATCCAAGCCTATCAAGTGAGCACGACTACACTTCATTAATGGTCGAATTTCATATCCACGAGTTATAAAGAACTGCGTAAGTTTGTAAACAACAGTGTCTACCCTGCGGTTCAAAAGGATTTGGTGGTAAAAAGAAAAATTACTGGATTACTAATTACTAGAGTCAAAATTTCTAAACGGACTCTGCAGTAGCAGAAAGACTGAAACCCGACGTATAATCAGGTGCGTTATGATCACTTATCGATTTCTGGACGAACGACGAGGATGTTTCTTCGTGAATCGCGCAATAATCCTCGATTCAGATTGATGGAATAAAATTTCATTTGTATCCATCGCAACTAATAAAATGAACAACAGAAAATAGAAAGATTCATATGCAAAAACAAATATATTTTCATTTACTTATTCTAAAGAGGTTTACTATAAAAGTCCATATTAATTGATATTACTTTTATAACAGGGGAAAAACTCTAATTTCTTAAATATAGTTGAGAAAAGTATAATTTTCTAACTAACAATAAATAGAGTTGGCTGGCACTTTATCGAAGATGGCACAACACATCTTCAGTGGTGGAACGCAATCAAAAACTGTCTTTTCTATTTATAGTGTATGTACTGGGATTCCTTTTTGCCATTTACTGTATCTGGCTAGTGTAAACTTCCCATTTCATATCTTCGAAGGGACCGCTTCGACGATACGGCGGCCATCTTGCCAGGGGTAAAACTAAAAACAGATGACGAAAAATATATAAAGCTTCGTGTGTTTGTCATTCTTTTATGGGTAAAGGTGATCGATGTGCCGTCTTAATTCATCTTTTACCGTATTCTCTTGTGGTGAGCTTTTACTGTAACAAAGTTCTGTGTGCCCCCTGAACGCCCCGTATTGCCTTGCAATCCAAGATAGCCACCGTATCGTCGAATTAGTCCACTGTCAAAATCATATTCAAGCCCGGCTTCCTCGCTTTTTGTGCCGGTAAGATATACTAAGCTATGTGTCTAAACACCTCACGTGCCGGTGAAGTTTTTTAGTCTTTTTACATGCATGTACCAATTTAATGAGCATTTCAAAAATTAATCCACATTTCCTTTTCGTCGTCGTCCTCGCTTCGATTTCGTCTTTCCAGAATTCAATATTCCCGGACTAGGAATTTTCTGCGCAACTCTTGCCTCATAGTGAGGAAACTTCTCGCTTAGTCTCTTAAGTAAAGGGATGTATGTAATTTCTTGTTGTGGACTTGACTCGTTTGGATCAGTGGAGGGGATTGAAATCACTCTCTTCTCTACTAGTATGTATTCGCCCTTGATGGTCAGGTACTTTGATGCGTCGTCTTTCTTGTGGTCTGTCAGCTCTAGAACAAGACCTGAAAAATTCGATCAAACCAAACATCAATTTTATCGAACTTCTTGCATGAAACAAACTCTGGGCTGATCCGAGAGTCAGGGCACGGCTTACCCTCGCACTGATAAACCCCTGAAACAATCTATGGGCTGATCTGAAAGTCAGGGCACGGCTTACAATCACTGATAAAACCCTGAAACAATCTCTGGGCTGATCTGAGCCCAAACCAACTTCTTGGCTTATCAAAGTCACGACTAAAAATATGGTTCAATAGGCATTAGCATGCAAGCATACTAGTCTAATCTTCCAAAAGAATAAGAATGACAAACTAGGAATGCATGTATTGTCATATACTATAACACTACTATATATTAATAAGATTACTACTACTTTACTATATAACTCTTTAGTATTATTTCATGAATTAAAGTAATTTGAAAGCAATCGAGTGTGTAACTGGCTTTTCTTAGTGTTTCAATAAGCCTTCCCTTTATTTATATGTTTTATGCTAATGGTTACTAAAAAAGGCGCTACTAAAGCGACAAGACTGGTCTTATCGGTCTCGTAAATCTTGCTCTGTTCACATCTTTCGTTATGTAAAAAAGAAAGAAAGAATATTCAATAAAAGGTCGTACGGCAAGAATACAAAAGAAAGAAAAGAAAGGCGTTAAAAATACCAGTCCATGCAGGTGCAATTTAAAATGTCAACGCAAACTTCTGAATAATTAAGTTTTTCCCCAATAGGTTTATCCATACTTAATAGAGTTTTATCTGACTAATAAGTTTGGAACAATTGCTTGAAAGTGCGCATTTCATCAAACTACCTGCCCTAAGTGTTTTTCTTTCATTTCCGAAACGCTTTATCTTCTTATTTGTTTTGTGCAGTGCTTTTCAGAATATTACATATTAGTTTTAAAAGCCTTGGTGATTCCGATAAATTGGAATAGTAGTTAATTCAGTATAACAAAGAAATAATCAATTACTTCAAGACATCTTTCTTGAGCTCGACTCCTTCCTTTTATTTTATTTCAGAATTAGAATTTAATTTGCACTGAAGTGGTTGCCAAGAATTAGAAGCGAGCAGTACTTCATTCAGATGAAGTCGAATAAAAGTGAAACACAGCCTTTGAACCTTCATTGACCCATCGCAGGATACAGTATGTTGATCAAAACTGCGCTTAAAACAGTGACGAAGATTCCTCAATAATTTGTAGAAAAGATGTTGCTTTAACGCGCTTGTACCGAGTAAATAGAAAATAAGTGCTGCTTTTTGACCCATGATAAGAGAAACAAATGCATTGCGTTGCTAGGAAATCCAGAATTTAGCCCAAATTTTGCTGGTTATTTTGTAAACATCACATGCATTAGCGCGGACAAAGTTTTCCGTTCCGTACTCGAAGAATGAAATATATAGAGAACTTAGCTTTTATACCTTTAAAGGAAAGAACTAAAAGAATTAAATACAACGAGTATTGTTTTTTCTTTAATGATCTTACCTGTTTCGTCGGTCAAGTCAAGCTCTTTATTCATCTCTCCAAAACCACATCTTTCCTTGATATTATCAAGTAAATTGATAACACTACAGCTAGGATTGCAGAGCAACGACTGGTAGTCACCATACAACACTGTTATAAACATCTTCACATTCTGTTTTTGACCTGCGATCAACTCCGTGGGCCTCAGTGCCAACTTGTTTTGGCTTAAAGACGAGACGCCGATTTCGTCGTCAAAATAAAGTAAAAGAAATATCAAAGATATGTAGTTACCAGCGTAACCTCCTCACCAGCCTAATAATATATAAAGCAGTCAATTGGCCAAAGTAAAAAACAATGACAATCAATAAAGATAATCCCCAATTGTGCAGGGTATAACAAGCGAATCGGTATTAAGTTTTCAAGAGAGAAATTCAAGACCTCCAGAGGTGCCTTGTGCTTGGATTTCTGTCTGGACTGAGGTGAATGCCATTTGATACGGGTTGATATATAAAATTTCTAAGATTTACATTTATTGAGCATTTATCCATTGGTAAACAAAGTCAGTTAATTTGAAATTCTTACCAGATTATTGTCTAAAGACTGAATGAGCATTTCACGAGATGAGCAGCTGGTCGAAAAACATATATCTAGGAAAAGCAACAGAAAAAAAAAAAAAAAGAGAAGAAAAGAAAGAAATATTCTTTCTCTAAGAATAATCGCAAAACCGTAACTACTACAAGATGGTATTCATATGTTGTCATCCTTTTTAACTTATTGAAATTATTTTGCAAAAATAAATATTGACTCTGAGTCTAAGCATTTGTCAAAGCCGTAATTTTTCTGTTCAGATCATACGGTATTCATGCGCTAAGACTATTGTTTCATTTTCGGCTAAAGAGATTTAGTCACCTCATTTGCTTTTCATTATCATTTCCTTTAATTAAAAAGAAAGCCTGAAAACTCAAGCTGCATGTTTTTTTTATTTTTTATTTAATTTATTGAAATAATTAGTGATACATATAGAATAGCTATGACTATTTCGAAGTGTACATGTGCAAAGTAAAAAAAATACATGAATATAGATATATTATAGATATACTGATATATTTATATAACTAGGAATACATTCAAGCTCAAGCCTATTTTAATCATTCGAAATTGCTGGGAAGTTTCGTCGACTGGAAGTCGACTTAAGAGAAAATACACCGAAAGCAAATTTTTTTTTTTTTTTTTTTGCCACATTATTTTTCTTGCATGCATTTTGCAGAGGTTTCTTGGAAATAACTATGTGAACAGTATTGCGGTTGCATCTCACAGCACTTGTAAAAAAATAGCGAGATATTAAGTCAGTTACTCATTGCATGTCGATATATGACGATTATTTATGGCGGGAAATTTGCGCACAATTGGGCTTGTAGGGTCCAGTAAGGTTAAGCTTTGTTATCGAGTAATAGGGAGTGCTAGGGGCCGTACCAGGTTTGCAAGGTCTCTGCAAAGTAAAATCATTTCCACTGGTCTCTGAGGGGAGAAGGAATACTTTTGATACCCACAATCTAAGGGACCGTTTATTATTTTTTTGCGGGCATGTCGAGGGGGGCTGTTGGGCTAGAGGGGTCGTGTAAAAATAGTGCGTTTTAGGGGGCACCGTCGGGGGCACCTCAAAAATAATTAGCGAAATAAAAAAATAATTTTAAAAATATCCTGTTATATTAGGGGGCCACGTAAATAAAATCAGGTTGGGAAGGGTCCGTGATGCATTTTTTGCTTAAAATTCACAAAATCCCACCAGCTCCCCAATAAAAATGAACGGTACTATCCTTTTTTCACTATCATCATGGGTACCCTGTGTATTTACCCATGCAGCATTGCTGTCGTGTGATTGGCCGCCATTTTGTTTCGTCTGACCGGTTTTTTGTGTACTTCTTCTCCTTCTTCTTAGTTTTTTCTCCTGCTTTTGCTCTTGTATTCGAAAATAGTTAGACTATTTTACAATGTTTTATAAGCACAACTCATTTAGTGGCAGAGTAGCCGCCTCAGAGGCTCAAGCAACCTACCATCCAGAAGTAAGTTTGTCCTTGTTTAGTACAGTATAGGAGTCGTAGTTGATCACTGATTTTTACCTTGATATTTTACTAGGGTTTCAACACTTTAAAGCCCACAAGTGCTACCCAAGTATCACAGCCTGCCTCTGCAGCCACCAGCGAAAGTATTTTAAATCAAATTGTGAAATTTCAGAGGATTTTTCAGGTGAGGAATATTTACCTGGAAAACGCTTTTAATCCTATGTGAGATTCATGCTACAGAGCAAATATTTAAGCGAACATTGGACATAATAAGAAAACGAAAGGTTTTTAATGTAACCGAGGAGGGTATTTTTCTAAATTATTTTGAATAGGCTACATTAGGCTGAAATTTCCTACCTCCAACTTACCCTCATGGTCAACTGCCCCCTACCCCTCCCCTGAAATGTCCTCACTCTACACAATAAATTGGAAAATAAGAGTGAATATGAGTGGTTGCCTTATCTCAAGGGTCTGGAACGGTATTCGCAGGAGCCCAAAACCAGATATAAAATATAGTGCAGGATTCGATCGGGAAACTAGAAAAAATCTTACGTGATTCAGGATATATCAGCCATGACTTGGGAATTGCCGAATTTAACATTTGGGATGCGGGATTTTGCTTTCTGATTTTCGAGGAAAACGTGAAAAAAAATTTAAATAAATAAAGTTAAAAGTCAAACACCTTTGAATATATTGAATGTGGATTTCAGTTACAATTAATGTTGCATGACACAGGATTTGGGGACAAAATACTGTGTGATTTGGGATCTAGACTTCCCCTTCCAGACCCTGTATCTTGGAGAAAATCTTTATTTTCAAAAGACATTATGTTGTGAGAATGTAACAAGCTATTTTTAATGTATCCATACTGCATTACACCTTCCAATACTACTATTGCTGTTTGATCCTGTTGGAAATGACTTTTAAATTGGTTTATTTTAAGAGAGGAGATGCACCCATTCACCTGAAGAAAGGAGCTAAAGACCTGCAAACATACAGAGGAGCCATGGCTTTGTCTCTCGCTGGACTTGCCTTGACGTTTTTTGCAATAGGACAAATGGCAACGGGAACAATGAAAAAGAAAAAATAAGAAATTTTTTTAACTTCCTATTAATCTTGCAACTCAGTCAATCCAGGCATTTGTTTTTGCTTCTGTAACAAAACTTAGATTGACTAGAGTCAAAATGTCTAATTTTGGATTATTATTTTATCTGTGGTGATGATGAAAATATATTTAAATTAACATAACTTGAACATTTGCTAATTTTTGCTGAGACGTATCAGGTGTTTTTGCAATAAAAACATTTGAAAGCTGCATGGAAAAAATGATATTTGCAAAATTTCAAAAGGCTTTATGTTATATTAAACTGCATTACATCTGTTATTGTACACAAATAAACTAAATTGTACAGTTTTCTGACTGCAGTCATTTATTCAAGAGATAAAAATATTGAATGTTATATTGGTTATATTTTCAAGTTCACATTTCAATTATACATTTTTTACCCAATTTAAAAAAGTTTGGAATACAAAATTAATAGTTGCTGGTATAATATAATATAATACATTTAGAGTGCCATTATATCTGTGAAACGAAAACAAAGATGCTATTTTGCTGTTATTTTGTACTAAATAGTGGATGATTACTAGAGCAGAATGTTATAGAGCAGCAAATACCACTACAGTCTTTGTTTGGTTCAAGCCTGAGTGAATTCTTAGCTATTTGACAACTAAATATTTTCAAGTGCTACATAGCTAGTAATCCTTTCACAGATATATGGCATGCACTCTATTTAAACAGATTTCAATTTCAAAGATTATTGCACACCAGCAAACACCTATTTAGGCATTAATTACGAAAGACAGTCTTATAACTGTTGTAACTATCTTTTTCTTCAAAAACTTCTAAACAATCTATTACTGTCCAAGTTTTATATGTTTACTATAAGAATCCTTTTCATAGTTTCTTCCATTAGTTATTATGGTTAAATACATTCTTTTTACAACTCAATTTGCTAAAAGATATTGAGTGGGTCACTACCCCCTTATCTTGCAGTTGCATGCAAAAAATTAACACAAAAAGGAAAAAGAGGACTTCATTATATATTAACAAGCATTTCAATGCCAGCCAACACATTTTACCATTGATAGAAAACCCTGTAAGATATTTGGTTTTATATTTAATGTCATTTCTCCTGTAGTTGACATTATGAGCTGAGTCATCTGGCATTACTACTTATAGTTCAATAGATCATCGATTGCCATTCTTATCTTTCTTACAGCTTCACTGAGAATTTCCTCAGAGTAATAGGAAAAGCTTAGCCTCAAACAATTTGGGAAATTCCCAACACAAGAGCACAAAGTACCAGGTCGAAATAACACCCTATACTTCTCCTTACAAATGGTGAAAAGGTCATTTGTATTGATGTTTTCTGGCAAAATGACCCACACAAAATAACCACCCTTTGGCCTTAGGTATTGAGCCATTGGTAGGAATTTATCAATAGCATCACACAAAGCATTCTTTCGTGATTGATACACTTCTCGTACTTCTACTACAAGTTTGGAAATTAATCCCAGTTTAAGTGCTTCACGGATCACACATGAAGTGTAATGATTGAAGCAGCCTCCACTGAGAACATATCCAGAAGATTCTAATATGGTAAGAAGGTGTGGCGGGGCTTCTACCCACCCCAGTCGAAGCCCAGGACCCAAAGTCTTGGAAAATGTACAGTTAGACACTACATTCCCTTGATAATCTGCATCAGCTTCATTATCATATGCAAACAATCTTTTGGGGGGTGGAGTTACTAATGGCGGTCTCTCGTCAATAAAGGATAATGTATTGTACACATCATCACAGATGGCTATAGCCTTGTGCTTGCGCAGAACCTTGATGAGCTTCTTACTCTTTTCTTCACTAAGAATCGTTCCTTTGGGGTTATTAAAAGTTGGAACGAGATATACCAAGGCAGAATATGGCTTGTTTGATGTCAATGTCTTGCCAGCTACATGTTCAGTCAGAATTTTATCCACTTCATCTACATTTATCCCATCCTCATCAGTAGAAACGGCCATGGGTTTTAAACCTATGTCCTTTACTAACACAGTTATTGCTATGAAATAGGTTGGGTCTTCAAAAAGAGCCAGGTCACCTGGATCAAATAAAGACTTAGAGAGGAACTTCAACCCTTGTGTAGCTCCAGCATTGATCATCAGGTTTTCACTCTTGACTTCATCTTGATACTCGTCACTCAGGAATTTAGCAAGTTCTTTGAGCATTTCAGAATCACCACGTCTTGGTCCATACTGAAGACAGTCAACATCGCCAGATTCAAGGAGAGCCTTGGTACCTTGCAACATAACATCTGCAGTTTTCTTTAGCAAAGATTTGTCAGGTGCTCCAACACCAAGGCCAACAAGTCCTTGTTCATCAATATGGCTAAATAAGTGAGCCATGCTGCAATATAACCAAACATATATTTATATGATATTATATTTGCAAGCATTCACAATTTAACCTTAAACAATAATTGCAAAACAGTCACATTTATCCATATGATATATTTTTTAATTAGATATTTAGGGTGCTCATAGGAACTGCAAAGAGGAAGTAGTTTGGGGCACTTATTATGTAGTGGGCTATGCAGCCCTTGCTGCTGATAAAATGCACTATATATTGCATTTCAAATTTGTAATGTAACCCAGACAGCTTTCAGCCTTCAGCATATCTATATTGTACTTCAGTCCATGTAAACAAATCCAGAATAAAGCATTTCATATTTTCCCTTGTGTTATGGAATCCAGCCATTAATTCTCAATAATTTTATTAATAAATTATTGATTAATAAAAGCCCCAAACTCCAAATAGTACTGTTACAGAAATCTATAACTCTAACTGCATTTTCCAAAGTGTGCTGATGCACAAACCACATTGAATTTGATATTGTTCTGGAAATGATTTTATTCCCTTCAGCTAAAACATCTTATTACCAGTAATTCTCATTTGAGTCAAAGAGCAAGATTTACGAACGCATTTTTGCCCGATCAAACCGGTAAGGTGCTTATCGTTTCTATCTGCAGATGTAGATTGAGCTACCCTGCTAGCAGAGTCTCCTTTTACCTCCTTCTCTCGCCCGTAGAGGAATTGAAAGACTTTGAGCAGTCTACGACCTTGGAAACATCTGCACATACGCCCAGAAAACGACCCACAAGTAATAAACAATATCAATAAAAGAAACTAAATGCCTTTAAATTAGCTGAAAACATATTATTTTGTTATAAAGGGGTTATGATATGAGAAAAACTTACTTTCTTTTTAGTATCTCAAGTGATCATGAGTGGGGAAAAGTATGGACCGGAAGAAAGGAATCATGGGAAAATAAACTTGGCGCATGCGTATTACAGCCATTAAGAAACAAAACAAAAATGGCGGCCAACGGTTCGTAATTTTTTTTTCAGTATCGACAAAACTTGAGCAATTTGTAATCATTTTTTGACATTTCTCGATGAATTGAGTATTTTTTTCGACTCTTTTTATGTTTGGGCTTTTGTTATTTCAGAATATCATTGTAATTATTGTCATTCCGACTGCACTTCACTACGAGTGCGCTGCGCCGAGTGCACGGATTTTGATCTCTGTCTACAGGTGAGCGAAGAGGGTGTTGTGACCGACTTTTGTTATTTGTGAATATCATTTGTTTTACTAAATCGAGCACTTTGTTCTTTGTTGGCAGTGCTTCTGCTGCGGTGCAGAAATGGGTGAACACAAACGCGGTCATAAATATCAATTAACCGTAAGTCACGTGACCGTTATCCAGAGTTTCCTGAAGGGGTTAAAAATGGGAGCTTGGATTCGCCTTTTTTGGGCTGGGAAAATGGGATTTTATGCACTGGGAATGGAATTCCCAAACAAAAAAAGAGATTTTGAGCAAAACATACGCTTGGTCAATTATGGGATTTGGTCAAAATGGGGACCGGGAAATGGGAGAGCATGAAATTTTAGAGCATGAAAAAAATATCTTTTGTAACATCAAATATTTGTTTTAAAAATTAAATCAAATTAGAAAAATTCAATATCTCTTTTTGTTTTTTGTGGGTTGTTTGCTTATTCATCCTATTCACATAAATTTTTCATTACTCATAGTATAATATAGATATTGACCATTCACTAAGAAGATAAATTTTGGCCGTTGGAATTTTAGATAATTCTTTATAATGTTACTATTTTCGTGCTGGTAACAGGATGGTGGTACATTCCCAATGTTCTCTGAAGACTGGTCGGCAGAAGAAGAGACTCTCCTACTAGATGCCATCGAACAGCATGGATTTGGAAATTGGTAAATTTGTTAAGGATATTTTTTGAAATCTTAGAGGGTCCAATTACTTTTAAAAGTCTGATTGGCTAATAATAAGATAAAATTGCCCTTGTTAAGGAAACCTGAGGCCCTGATCATTCCATGAGTTCTCCTTTGCTCAGCCTTAGCCTTGGTTGTGCATTACAATATTCAGCCAATCAAACAAGACCTGTGTTAATAGAGTGTGACGTCACAAAAACCAAAATTTTGCTTTTGACAATAATATTTTTGATCCTCAATTTCAATAGAGCATCAAGAAAGATGTTAACAAGCCAAATTTTAAGAATATCGGTTAAAAAGCAACAGAGATATGGCCGTTTGAATATATAATGTCCCCATACAAATCACTGTATTTTCGCCCTGGTTCATTACATAATGTGCAAAAATACAGAGATTTGTATGGCGAAATTATTTATTCAAACGGCCGTATCTCTGTTGCTATTCAACCATTTCTCCTGAAATTTGGCGTGTTAGCGTCTTTCTTGATTTCCTATTGAAATCGAGGATCGAAATCATGATACAGTGAAAATAATATTTTGTGACGTCATCAGGTCGGTACTCTATTAAATTGACTTGTATTGTTTTATAGTGAGTTAAGAAAAATTAAGGAACAAATTTGCTCTCCATCGAACGTGATGCTGAGCAAAGGCAAACTCAAAATGTTAGCATTATTTTTGATGTTTATTTCAGGGATGACATTGCTGATCACATAGGAACAAAAACTGTGGCTGGTAAGAAACTAAGTTGGCATGAAAACTCATAATGAATGGGGTAGGGATGATGAAAAACTGCAGATCTGAATGGGGGGGGGGGGGAGGGAGCTATAAAACTGAGAATCTGGAGGGGGATCTAAATAATTGAAAAAGAAATTTGGGAAAAAAGGTAAAATTTAGCACATTTTCTAACTGAAATGGCCAAGCTGACAAAAAAGACAAATTTATTCTATTTAATATAGACTACATGTGAATCTGCAAACCCCTACGTCCTCCTCAATGCAGAATGATATAATAACTTTCAATTATTATGATAATAAAAATATTAATTTCTTAAACCCTTTTACATGTCTTTTACAGAGACTGCAGATCATTACAATGACACCTATGTTCATGGGGACGTTGGGAAAGGTTCGATTGAGCTAATTAATGCATAATATTTAAAGTAATATTCAACAATAATTTCACTTTTTACCAGTACAAGTATATGGGGTACTGGATTTGTCATGCCGACCTCGGCCATGGAGATAAGCATGGTAACCCATGCCAAAGTCCACCACCTGGCACCCATTACAATGACTGATCAGTGGATGTTTGTCAAAGTATCATGATCATCTGGGTGGATGTAATCCTGAGAAGGACTGTTTGATGGGACTGATGATTCAAATAAGATAATACTGTGTAGTTTTGAATTCTCTGTTGTTAAAAAGACTGGATAGCGCTATCAGGAGGATAAATCCTTATTCATTGGATAAGGCGATGTTGTTTTCCAATGAATTTATCCACTGGATAAGATTTATCCATTGGATAGCGCTATCCAGGCTTCGTACAACCGAGCCCAGAGTTAGCCTCAATTTAGCATGAAATTATTTTTATCTATTTCATATTTTGAATATTCATGCATTCCAAGTGAAGGTCCTTCAAATTGCAAAAGTGTTTGTATTGTTGAAGTTGTGCATTCTCTATTTACCATTGAGTATACTCTAATGCTGAAATGAGACTAACCCTGAGTAAGTGAATCTGTAATCGAGTAACACAGCAGTACAAATTTGAAAACAGATGGCATTGGTGGCATACGCTGCAAATGCCTTCTCTTTTACCGCTTTTAGTCCAAAGGGTCTGGTTGCTGGTTGGCAAGCCCTGCGGTCTCCAAATGCGAATTGAGTTTGTTTGATGTGTTGTTCTCTCCCCCACCATAAGGGTTTTTCTCCAGGTTCTCCATTTTTCCACCCTCCATAAAAATCAACATGTGAGTTGAGAGTTGTGTGTATAGAATATTTGAATGTACATGTAGTAAGGAGTGTGTTTGGAGGCTACCTTTAAAGGTGGCACAGGGATCTGTGAAGGGGACTATTATGTGAAAAAAAAATTACATGATTTAAAATTAATGGAAAGAAACAAATTTACATATCCATTTTATTTATTGAAACAGCATCAATAGAGCCTTTCAAGGATAAGATTGTGGACCACACAACAATAGAAGGAGGTTAGTTAAGGGTTATACTACAGGCCATGGATCCAGGTGGGTAAACCATTTATGATCAGGATGTTCACAAACTCGAATACCAATAATGCAGTAGAATATCAGCTCATCTGGCTTGGGGGAGAGGATTTGCACTCTACCCCTGTAATACAATGTCGTTCTTTATGGCATTTAAAAAAATAGGCTTGGAGCAACTGAAGGCCTGCATATCCTATTACTAACCATTGAGTCATAAACTAAAATAGTTTTGCTGTATTTTTGAAGGTTTGCTATCGCCGACAATTTTAAATCCTCATGAGCAGGTAGAAATGAGTGCAGCAGAGCAGACAGAACTTGGGTACATGCCTTTAAGAGATGACTTTGAAAAGGTACCATTATGTCAAGCATATAGGAACCATTAAAATTCTGGTAATAGGCCGTCCCCTTCCGCAATCATAATCACACTAGTCTGCTAAGCCAAATATTCTTCAGTGTTATAGCATCCCTTGACTCAGTTATAGGCTCCGCCCTGGTTATAAGACCCGCCCCCTCCCCACCCCTAGTACGAAACTCCATATGTGTTAAGCTCATGTAGAAGAGAAAGATTAATGTATAGCTATATCTAGTATCATTCTAAACCACTGATGTTTTTTCTTTTTTTTTTTTTGTTTTTCATTAAGGAGTATGATAATGATGCAGAAACACTTATTAGTGGGTTACAGTTTAATAAAGATGATGACGACCTTGAAAAAGGTAATAAAAATAAAAATAATCTAAAATAATAATATTATCATAATAATGATAATAATCTAAAATCATATGGCTATCATTCTTTTTCTGTCGCTGGTCCTATGCTGTTGAATCTTTGCCATCATCCATTAGAACAATCAACTGCATGACAACGCTCAAGAAAGAACTGAAAACCTACCTTTTTAAGATAGCCTTTAGTTTGTAAATTAGTGTAATGCTTGTATATATGATCATTTTTATTTTTATTTTTTCCAAAGCGCTTAGAACAGATTTGAATAAGGGCTATATGTGTTTATTATTATTATTATTATTATTATTAAGAAGAATTGATCGAAAATTGAAAGGAAAGAGAATGTTTATAGGAATGTGACTGACTTATCTAGGTTTAAAGCAAATTATGCTTACCCTAATACAATAACTGATACACCTAATTCAAAAAACATTGTCAGTCTGAGAACATCTGAAATGACTGATCTGAAACTTAAAGGAGTTTTTCCGCTTTTATATCTTCTGGCTAAAAAAATATTCTTAAAATTCACATTTATTTGGCTGACAGATCTCTGCCGACAAATTGTTTTGAGAAAGGTGCTTGAAGGTAAAAACGTGATGAATCACATTTATAGGCTTCCTGTATCTTTACACATACAAATGCTCTCCGTTAGATTGTTTTGCACACCATATCAAATCCCTGAACATGTAATACTCCTTGAAATTTGTCATTTTGGTCCTTGATGAATACTCCTTGAAAAATCCTTGAATTTTTCAATGGTAATTTTGAAAGACCCCTGCTTATTATAAGATGCTATTTTATCATCACACTAATACCATTAATATTATTCCCCAGATTTAAAAATAGCACTCATAGATATGTATATAAGAAGGTTAAAAGATAGACAAACAAAAAAAGAGTAAGTACTGCAGGACACAATATAAACTCAACCACCTTTTAGCTTTTAATAAAATGAACGAGTAAACATGTGAATGTTTTAAAAAAGCGATGTTGATTTTGCTTTTGCTTTTCTATTGTAGTATTGCCAGACAACATGGTCTTATTGCCAGCAAACACAAGATTATAGGTTGGTAAAACTGATACATTTTTTTTATTTGTTTATTTGTTTCTTTGTTTTGAAGTCTTGAGCTACAGTGTCAAGTGAGGTTGGTAAATCACGAACTACTTTAATTTAGTCTTAATGAACGGTTAGATATTGATTGAAGTGATTCTAAACGTGGGCAAGTTTGCATGGGCGGGTTGGCAAACACATGTTTGATGATTTTATACACGGGCCAGTTGACATGGTCGAGTTGTTCCGTGGGTGAGTAGACTGGTTACCTTTTTTTAGTATCAGATGTAGATCTAGAGAAGGGGTACAGGAGTGGCTGACCCCCTGACCTCGACCCTTGCCCCCTCTTGAAGTGCTTCAGAAATCACCAGTTTGTCCTGGTAATAAAATGGTGTACCCCTTCAAAAAATATTCTCAATCGGCCACCCCTGTGTGCAGTAATAAGTGTAGCAAAATGTATTTTAATATTTGACAAGAAAATAATATCATTGGTAGTTATGTTTTTTATTTTGTTTCCTAGCTCTTAGAAGACGATACTGCAAAGAAGACAGGTGCGTGTTGCAAATAATCCTCTTCCACATATACATGTTAAATATTTCTTAATTATTAATATATGTTATTATAGAATTATTATTATTATTATTATTAATCTTATAATTTTACACACACAATGTTCTTGCTAGTCCTCTTGTTAAATTTTTTCTTCTTTTTGATCTTATTAATCTTATAATAACATTCTTCATGTTAGATGCATGCTTTTAATAAATATTATTACTATAAAGTTATTCTGATACGGTTTCTGTTGCAGGGAGTTTCGGGATGCCACAAGGACATTTGCAAGATTCAAAACACCAAAAGAATGGGAAGAATTTCAAAATGATCACCTTAGTAAGTGTAGCAAAGAATAATTTGCAGCTTTTCATGAGATCTAGATTTACTAATTCCCTAACTCTGAGGCCTTAAACAATTTGAATGTTGATCTTAATATTCATTAGAAAATCAAGGATGCATCTGTTAATTTGATTTATGATAAACCAAATCCAAATGCTTTCTTCAGGATCAAAACAGGGACTTTGTGATTAACAAAAAAGAAGAGAACTAAATAGCACTAAAAACTAAACAGTACAAACAGTTGCTGTATGGGTGGATTGCACATGGGGGTTGGGCAACGGGAAATTTCTCTTCCTCCTCCCCAGTCCCCCTCCCCCTCCCCAAAGTGCCGCTACACAGGCTAAGGTAAAGGTAATTTGTTTTACTTTGAGACTGCAGGGAATGGTTTCCCATTTCTCCCGAGCCAGGGGCTTGTGTTTGAAGCATTCAAAGGTTTACTCCTCTTACCTAGAATGGCTTACAGAGCTTCCTTTTTAGGTTTTACAAGTCGATTTCTTCTTACTCTTTATTGTCATAAGTTATCAACCACCTAATCAACCCCCCCTCCCCTCCCCCACGATCCACTCTAATTTGGTATGTTATTTTTGTCCATATTTGTCCATCTCACATTTTATCAATTTTTTTCCCCCCAGGAGAAAGAGAAGTACGGATAAGGATCAAAGAACTTTCTCGATACAGAAAGAATGGCATCACTAAAACAAATGGTAGATACCTTCATTTTTCTTCTTGAGGTTCTATTCAGTCACGCTTTTCCAATCTGATTCAATTCTATTAGTGGTGTTGGTCCCTACACGTTATCCAAATTGATTTTGGTAGTTTCAGGTTACCCTAGAAGTTTTTCAAATGAATCTAAATACCAAGGGCAGATCCCTTTGGAGTTGAAAAATAATATGAAAAAGGGATTAGGCAAAACAAAAAAAAGATGTTATACAATTTTATTTTATTTACAATTTATTATATGATCAGGGTCTGGAAGGTGGGGGTGTTTGGTTCCCGAATAACGCGCTATTTGTTCCTGAAATCTCGCGTCCCTCAACAATTGTAAGCGACGACCAAATTCAATATATTCAAAGGTGCTCCCGCATCCCGGACATTGAATTCGGCAATTCCCGAGTCACGGCCGACACCATTATCCCGAATCACGTAAGATTTTTTTTCTAGTTTCCCGGATCCCTCACCTATATTTTATCTGGTTCCCGGTTCCCGCGAATACCCTTCCAGACCCTGTATGATGCCTTTCTAGATAACAGCCACCCCCTTGAAATCATTCTGGGTCCGCCATTGGATACAATCCCATGTTCCTACATGTAGACAGAAAACCCTTAATCAAAATCTTCCTTGATACTTCCACTCCCAACTCTCCAGTTCCCGGTTATATTTTTTATTTACCAGTTGGTCAAGAATTCGATGAGCAAAGGCTGCGTCGTGAGAGAAGAAAAGAGAATAAGCGAAAAATGGTGGTTAGTAGAGAATAATAAAAATGAAGACGATATTTTGGCTTCTCCTTAAAGGATTACCTGGTAATGGTTCTCTTTGAAACTTATTCTTAGATGTAAAATATTTAATAACGAGTCCGTTTGAAACTTTTGTAGGGTGGTCCAACACCGAGAAAGACCAATGTTTCCATGGGAAAAACACAGTAAGTTAGCTTGTACAGTATCTCATAGGATAGACTTGAAAGATTATTCCGGGGTCCAAAGGTTATTCATTCTCGGTCCGGCGTTTGCTGGTTTTGACGGGATGATTGCGTTAAAACCACAGGAAGGGAAATTAGGAGCCAAGGGTACTGCAAGATAGACTCCACTCTGTACACTGATGAATATGTATTGCTGTGATTGTATTTAAAAGGAGGAAAAAGAAAATAAGAATGATTGCAATTGTTTGATTCAACAGGTTGGCTTCTGCAGAAAGTAAAACCAAAAAAGAAAAGGGTAAGGAATAGGATGATTACTATTAGTCTCCTACGCAGCCGCTATTAGTCTCCTACACAGCCGCTATTAGTGTCGTCACGCAACGCCCACTCCCCTACTTAAGGGAGTGAGCGTTGCGTGACAACACTATTAGCAGCTGCATAGGAAACTAGATTACTATGTACTGAGAGCTATCCAACAGAGAAATCCTTATCCAGTGGATAAGAGGATGATGTTCTCCAATAAATTTATTCACTGGATAAGATCAATCCACCTGATAGCAGTAAATAAATACATAAATTTTATTACACTTTAAGGGTCGATATCAGTGTGATAAACAGCCGTGAACCAAAACCATATCTGTGATTCTGTGAAGTGATACGATATCATGTTTTTCACGCTTTTTTAACCCAGGTTCAGCCAATCAGGAGTTCCTAGATGAAATCAAATCCTCTTCTTGTTTTGATTTACTCTCATCAAGAGAAGTTCAGGTAATTTTTGCCTTTCGCCTTTGGTTGTCAGTCTGGTTTCCTTCCTTTTCGTATTCCTTCAAATCCTTACTCTATAATCTCTTAAATTCTTTATTTGTTTTATCTATCTTCACTATACTTAACATACCATGGATCCAGCATCCTTCATCCATTACATCTGCCATCTATCCATTATTTCAGCCATATTTCATCTATCCATTTATTCTATGCATCTTTCCTATGTATCTTTCCTTCCATTCATTCATTTATCCCATCCATCCATCCATCCATCCATCCATCTAATTCTTCTTTTCCATTTCTCCTTTTCACCCATCCATCCATTTCCTCTTTTCTATCCACCATCCCATTTATTCATCCTTCCATCCACTTACTTTTCCATTTCTCCTTTTCACCCATCCATCCAGTTCCATTTTTCTATACACCATCCCATTTATTCATCCTTCCATCCACTTACTTTTTCATTCTCCTTTTCACCCATCCATCCAGTTCCATTTTTCTATACACCATCCCATTTATTCATCCTTCCATCCACTTACTTTTTCATTCTCCTTTATTGACCAGCTGTGCTCAACGATGCAGATGAAGCCTGGTTTCTATCTCACAATCAAAATCATTATACTAAAAGTGAGTAAAGTAAATCTTAATCACCTCGATATCTGGTTCCTTAGCAACCATTTCTGGTTATCGCGCCTTGCTAACTGGTTGCTTAGTTACCATTTCTGTCTGATAAACATCTTACTTATATTACCAAAGCAGGATATACTTCATAGCTGTTTGCTATCTTTTCTCTTAGGATAATCTTCTCCGTCGTCAAGGAGTTCAAGTCAAAACACGATATCCACCAAACCTCGACAAAAGTCACAGACGGACGATCGTTAACTACCTAAAGGAAAGTGGTTGGATACCTAGCTCGTGATATCAGTACTCTCTGTCTCACCTCACTCTTCTCTTACTTGTAACCATCTTTCACCCTTTCACTAGTTTAGTCTTTCAGTACAGTTTTAGGATCTTTTAGTACAAACTAGCAAGATTCATTTCTATAAGTTGCATTCGCCCTCTCCCATCCCCTCCCTTTCACTCCCATCCCCTCCCCTCCACTTCCCTCCCCTCCACTCCCCTCCCCTCCCCTCCACTCCCAACCCCTTCTTTATCCTTGGTTTTATTTCTGTTTGGTATGAATGTTACAGGACTGAAAAAGACTCACAATAACCCTTGAATGCGTATGGTGCCTCTTAACGACAAAAGGCATAGCCATTAATACCCAAAAATGGTTTTCTTCAGTGTGAATTTTGGTATTAAGAATTATGAGTGGCTAATTTCTAAATGGCATATTTTTATTTATCCAAATTTCCTTTTCTGTTGTTTTTTTTTTCGATGTACACTTTTCTGTATTTATATTTTTTTCTATACTTACTTCCTTTTTAGTCACACTGTCTCTTTTTCATTTTTCGTGCTTCTTTATCTTTCCAACTTTTCCTTTCTATTTTTGTTTCCATTCTATTTCCTTTCCTTGTCAAATAATATGTATATAATAGTATATTTATATCAATTTGTATAATAGGTCTAAGTGAAAGTATTCATTTTATCTCCATAGATTGTAATAATTGAATTATTCTATACTCATAATATAGTATTAAAAAAACTTGAGTTTTTACCAATGATAATTCCAAACAAACAATAGAATTACTGTCCACCAATGTGTATTAGTCTAAACCAGCTAATGTTCAGTGCCTGAGCTACCAGTTGTCTATTAGTCGTTCTGAGGTTGAGAAAAAACTGGGGCGAGTTGGCATTGCAGTGCATGCTGGGGTTGACTTCATGGGACGAAATAGACGCCATCTTGAGAATTCCGGGGGGGGGGGGGGG